ACAACCTGTCGAGAGAGGAGTGTAAGGCGATCCATGCGCTCCGAAATGATGATAAGGTGGTCATCCTCCCGGCCGACAAAGGGAACGCAATTATCCTGCTCGACAGGGAGGCATACAAGGACAGGGTGCGAGACCTGCTGGACAGTCCGGCCTACGAAAAGCTGAAGAAGGACCCCACACCAAGTGTCCAAAGGGAAATGAACAAGCTCCTGGCGGATATCTTTAAAGCGCACCCGAAGGCGAGAAACACATACCTCCAGCTCATCTGCCGGAACGGCTCTGCACCAGGATTTTACGGGCTTCCCAAGACCCACAAGCCCACAGTTCCGCTCCGTCCTATCGTGGATTTTACAACATCTCCACTCCGGGTGCTGTCCAAGTATCTCCACCGGACTCTCGCGCCGCTCGTGGGGCAAACACCGACCCACATACGCGACGCCAGCCACTTCTTGGAGCGCATGAGAGATGTGACTGTGAGCAGCGATGAGTGCTTCGTCTCGTTCGACGTCGTTTCCCTGTTCACCAGTGTGCCCGTAGCACTAGCGGTATCTAGCGCACGAGCAGCGTTGAACCAAGACGAGCTCTTGAATGAAAGAACCTGCCTGGGCGTCGACGAACTGTGTCGCCTACTGGAATACTGCCTCAAGGGGACGTATTTCAGCGTCAACGGGAGCTTCTACAGACAAGCCAGCCGGACCGCGATGGGAGCGGCGATCTCCGTTACGGCTGCGAACCTCACAATGGAACACATAGAAGAGACGGCACTGGGCTCCTTTATTGACAGGCCGAAAGTATTTGTGTGGTACGTGGATGACTGTTTTTGCATAATAAAGAAGGCAGCAGTAGACAGCTTCCTCGAACATCTAAACTCCATCGACCAAGCGATACAGTTCACGGTGGAACGAGAGCGAGACGGGGCGCTTCCGTTTCTCGATGTTTTAGTCAGATGACAGGGCGAGCGCATGACCTTTTCGGTGTATAGAAAGCCAACTCAGACCGGCAGGTATTTGCATTTTGCTTCCTGTCATCCAACTGCCCACAAAGCTTCAGTGGTTTCGGCACTCCTTTCACGTGCACGAGTAATCTGCACGTCGGAGGGTGAGAGGAAGAAAGAAGAAACGAGGATTGTCGCCGAGCTACGAAGGAATGGCTACACAGAAGCGTTCATCCGCCGGGCGTCACGCCGTTTGTCGAGACGACAACCACCGCACCGCGGAAAGACACCTGCAAGCGACACACCTCCCGACCCCCTTTCCGCCCTGGCCACGCCACCGCACACGAGAAAAACGAAGGCGCCAAACAACCGCGTCGCCATTCCATATGTGCCGGGCATAAGTGAACAGCTCTCGAGAATCCTAGGAAAAGCCGGGGTCACGGTAATCCATAAACCTGTTTCGACGCTCGCTCGCTTGCTACCGCGGCCGAAAGACCGACCTCCGAGGGAGCTACACCCGGGCGTTGTCTACAAAGTGTCGTGTTCTGGGTGTCCAGCCTGCTACATAGGCGAGAGCAAGTGTTTCCCGGAAAGAATGCGCCAACACAAGAACGACGTCAGGAAGATGGAAGTGCAACGTAGCGCTCTGGCGGGGCACTGCGAGAAGCACGACCATAAAATTGACTTAGACGGCGCTTCTGTTATTGAAACAGAACGGAATTTGGGAAAGAGGCTCTTGCTCGAGTCTTGGTACATTCAGCATACGCCTGCCAACGTGAACCGCTCGCTGGGAACATTGCCTTCGGTGTACGTTCACGGTCTCCGAAACGTGGTGGAAAGGGAAAGCCGGAGCCGTGGTGAGAGAACAAGACGCGACGACACTTCCATGACCAAGACAGTCACCCCCTGAGGAAGGGACCGAGTCGGTCTCGAAACGTCGGACTCTATTTGAACTGTGGCTGGAGCAATTTCAATTTTCTAAACTTTCTACCCATCCAGACAAATTGCTTTCAAAATGTTTACGTTTAAATCATGAGTGTGGCATGTAGTTATGTTGTTACATGACACGCATGTCATGATTTTCATGTTAGGATCTGTCACTTGTGTTCGTCATGCAGTCATGTCATACCATACCAGTTTCGAAACATGTCATGTGAATGAAACCACAGCAAGAGCAGCAAGATCATGATATGTAAGTCATGACATTCATGACATACATGTCATGATTTTTATGTTATGACTAGTCCGTTATGATTATCATACAAGTATGTTATGTCATACTAAGTTTGGTATTGATACCATTAACCAAACGGCCAGGAGAGATAAAAATTGGCAGATTCCACGTAGAGTGAGAATCGATGATATGCGAAGCATAAATGAGAAAGGTTGATATGTCACTTTAAAATCAGCATAATGTTACGAGGTGGAGGTAAATGACGCCCCACACGACTTCCGTGTCATCATTATCATGTTTGAATGTGTCGTTTACCTTCGTAATCCATTAACGTCACGTGATACCAAATTTAGTATATGTGGAGTTAGCGAAACGACCGCGAGCACGCTATGGACATGGTATGTTGCCATGTTCTTACATGACACGCGTGTCACGATTATCATGCTTGCACACGCCATATACTTTCGTCATCCATTGGCATCACGTAACGCCAAATTTGGTATATGTGGAGCTAGAAAAACGGCCGCGAGCGCATCATGAGTGTGGCGTGTGGTCATGTTGTTACATGGTGGTGGTGGTAAAAAACATTTATTTCACAAAAAGTCTACTAGAGAGTGCCGACGTGGCCCATCGGCGTGCTAGAGTGGCCAGACCCTATTCCGGGACGCCAGTGGAGCTGGAAGCCGCCCATGCGTGCTCCACCAAAGAGCGTTGCGCAGCCAAGGTAGAGCAGCCGAGGAGGTGCTCCTCCCAAACCTCTCTAGTTGGGATAGGGAAAGGGGATGAGAAAGGGACGGGATTAACTGGGCACAATGCTATGACGTGATATGTGTCGGCGAGGACATGACAGGTCGAGCAGGTGCCATTGATTTCCGGCAAAAAGTGCCTGGCGACCGCTGGACTGATAAAGGTGTTCGTCTGCAGGCGGCGTAGCAGTCGTTCGTCCGCTTTCTCCAAACCGCGTGCGGAGTCCTGGTAGAGGCGGCGCGAAGCCCGGTAATAAGCCAAAATTTCGCGAAAGCGCGTCAGGTTTGTATTGCCAGATTCCGTCTCGGGACATGGAGGGGCAACGGCCCGGACAGGAGAAGCGCGGGCAGCGGCATTTGCCGCCTCGTTGCCGGGCAAGCCCGAGTGGCCTGGGGTCCAGACTATACGAATGGGATGAGGGTTAAAGCGCCATGAGTCTGCCTGTAGTAGGCTAGCCGCCAGCGGGGCAATGGAACCCTGAAGGTACTGAGAACAGGCCGAGCGCGAGTCCGTCAGGATGGTACGTGAGGCAGGGTGAGAGGCGGCCAAAGTTATGGCAACCTCTTCAGCGTGCGTTACTGTGTCTTCTCGAAAGGAGAGGCCATCGACGTGTTTGCTCTTTGTAATCACGGCAGCCGTGAAGTGACCCGAGGGGGAGGGGCCCGAGACGTCCACGTAGAAAACAACAGGACGATCGGAGTGTCGCGTATGAAGGGCCGCGGCACATGCTAGTCTACGGCCAGGATGGAGGTCGGGGTTCATATTACGGGGTAGAGGTTCCACCCATAGCTTTTGACGCCAGAGCTCTGGTACCGGCTGCAGAGAGTATTGGTCAGATATCGGGTTAAGGTCAAGTCTGTGTAGAAAACGGCACCCTGAAGGCGTTTGCGACAGTCGATTGATTTGGTTAACGCGATGAGCTTCGCGCATCTCTGCAAAGGTGTTGTGTACCCCCAGAGCCACGAATCGGCTGTTACATGACACGCATGTCGTGATTACCATGTTTATATGTATCATTTACCTATGTCGTCCATTCGTGTTGCGTAACGCTGAGTTTGATACATGTGAAGCTATCTAAACGGCTGCGAGCACATCATGAGCGTAGCATGTAGTCATGTTGTTACATAACACGCATCTCATGTTTATCATGTTTGCACCAGTATCATACCTTTTTCATCCATTCACGTACCGTAATACCAAATTTGGTATAAGTGAAGCTAGCGAAACAGCCACCAGCGCATCGTGAGCGTGGCATGTAGTCATGTTGTTACATGACACGCACGTCATAATTATCATGTTTGCACCAGTCACATACCTTCGTCATCCATTCATGTACCATTATATAAAATGTTGTATATGAGATGCTAGCGAAACGACTGCGAGCGCATCATGAGCTTGGCATGTAGTCATGTTGTTACATGATGCGAATGTCATGATTTTCATGTTAAGGTCTCTCGCTTGTGTTTACCACACAATCATGCCACACCATACCAGTTTTGCAACATGCCATGTTTTGCAACATGCCAATCACCACTTGTCGTGGGCCACTGAATAGATCATCTGCACCTTGAAGGGCTGCATAGTCCGGGCTGGCTGGAGACACTGCGGGCATTTGGTGTGGCGTTTGGTGTGGCGTTTGGTGTGGCGTTTGGTGTGGCGTCACAATCCACCCAACTTCGTCCTGGCTAATATCCGGGCCTGGCGTCGATGATACGACATCCTTGTTCTTGGATTGCGTTCCTGGTTGAAGTGGCGGGTAATTCTTGGACGCCACCTGGAATACGATGGCTTGATGGATGGTGCAGGCGACGGTGGCATGCGGGTTGCCACAACGGCGACACGGCATCAAGCAGCCCTTCCGCTCGTGGCCGTAAACGCAGCACCTTCCACAAAACGGAGCTGTGCAGTTCATGCGGAAGTGCCCACTGTCTCCACATTGACAGCACACTCGCTGAATTGCTTTATAGTCACAGGTCACTCGATGGCCTGCGAACTTGAGGTTGTTGGGCACCGGCGACGATGTCTTCATTTCCATCCGGACGAATCGCGTCCCAGTAGCCATGGTCAGGCGCGAACCCATGATTCTTCTGCTGACGTGCAGCACCTTCTCTTAGGGAGATAATACTTGTGCGAAGACCTCGCTAGGGATGCGGCATGGCAGCAACAGAATGGTGACTTGAGTGACTTGGGGTCCCAGGGGCACGACAGCAAGGTGGTCTCCTCTGATGATGAGGTGGAACGCGTCGACGATTCGAGCCAGAGCGGCTTCACTGTTAACGGTGGCTTGGTGATTCCGGCCTCCAAAGTGCTGTACTCAAGAGACCTCTTTGATTCCTATTATTGAAGACGTCGCATCAACGACGTCTTCGGGACTAGTCCCCTCGGGGACGACTATGGCTAAGGCGAGCGCCTTCTTCGGGGGCTGGCTTGCCATGACGGCCGTCCGCCAGCTCAGGGACGCCCTGAGATGATGGCGAAGATTACGGGGCAACATGAGCACAGACATTATTCGCGGACCGTCCACAATAAATATACGTCCATGGTGACTAGTGAATGACGATGGCAAGTTGCTATACAGAGTAAACTGATTTAGTCATACTAATAGGTACAGGTATACCCTCGGGATAGCTTAAAATTGTGTCCTCATTTTCGTTTCCTAGACGGTCCTAATGTAATAAATACGTCGAATCATTGTGAGAATTCCGAAGCTTAAAGCTACACTTTCCTAAAAGTTAAGGCTGCAGCGACAAGTGCCTTCACTCCTGATATTTGAGGGATCAGAACTTGCCCAAATCGCTTGACCGAAAGAACCCATTTTTTGTGTGCCAGCACGCTTCGTGCGTACCATTGTCGAAAAACACCTTATTAGCACGTAGCAGACGTCAGCAGTCGATCACCATATTCACAAGAACATCATAGCACGTGACGAGGCACATCGATGCTCATCTCCCTCACAACCAACGATCGACGCCATCGCGACAAGAAAATTTCTGCAAACCAAGCTTTTCAATACGGTCGCGTTATCATTGTTCTCATGCATTCTTTCACAGGTGCAGATATTGATAGACTAACATACTTATTTTATTTCTGTACAGATGGGAAAGACTTACTACGGCGGACAATGGCAGCCCTCAAAATCCCTTCATCGTTGGAAGTTCGAGGCACGAACCAACTGAAGGATCGTTGTTAATCCGCAAGGTAGAGCCGCAGGATGCGGGAAAATACCTGTGCCTGGTCACCAACGTGGTTGGCGAGGAACGGGCCACCATCACGCTCGACGTGCGATGTGAGTAGCCTGCCTACATATAAATGCCAATTCTTAAGCTTCCACACTCGTCGAAATATTCATCTATGCTCATCTTTGTAGCATTACACTCGCGAATGCTATCGCACACAAGGAAACACCAATTAGTTGTTTGTGTTTTAGGGACACTCTACAAATTTTAGGGGCATTCTACAATGTTATTTTACAATGATTGGGTGCTTAAATAGAGGCGAGTTGGTCCTGCGGCAAGGTGGGCCTGTTGGTGTTTTTTTGTCATTCGTTATTCTTCTTTTCTCTAATGTGCCGATGACACCAAGATATTCAAGAAAATTCATTCAGTTAACAAATGTCGCTTGCTGCAGTCAGATCTGTGTTATTTCTCCAAATGGTGTAGCAATAAACCTTCCTTGGATACCTCAAGACAAAGTTCATGAGTATATCTCACAAAACATTGATTGTGTAATTTGCATACTTTGTCAATACGGCGCGTTATGTAAGGTTTATGGGTTCAATTATCTTGGTGTTTTTTTATAGCATGCTCAATTTTTCTGTTCACACTAAACGTGCTACCACGTGAGGTCTTCGTTCTCTCAGCTGCTATTGCAAAATCTCTCGAGAATTGAGTTTTTTCTACAGCCTTCCAGAAATTGTACACCGCAAAATGTCTTCCTCAACTTCAGTATGCATCTCTGATCTCCAATGGCATCGCTAAATCTGGCAGTAACGCCACTGAGCGAGTCGAGAAAAAAATCATAAAAATTTTCATCCATCGCTTACTATAGAAATGACTCTTGATCTCGTTTTACTACTGCCAGTTTATTATTATTGCTATCATTTCGCTGCCGACAAAATTGCGCTGGCCTCTTATTTCTTTACAAACTAATTCTCGGTATGATGCCCTGCCCTTTGCTTCTCAGCTGCGTAAAGTTTTGGATTCCGAGTAAGTTAACCAGAGAGAATCGACCATTTCATGTACCTGCGAACTTCTTTCAACACTCTACCACTCAGAGAATACAATTTCTATATAATGTTAACCCTCATGATCTTGATGTTTTTCACAGTTCACTGTTATTGTTTTTATATCAGCTTGGTCCTTCCCTAAGATGGTTTTTCACAATGTACAGAGTCGTCCTTTTACCGTTTTTCAGGACGCATTCCTCACAGTTGTGTATATTACCCTATATATTTCACCGCCATTTTATGATTCTAGCCTTGTTTTTATACTTCCTATTTTGCGCTAATTTTTTTTTGTTCGTGCGTTATCGCTCTTTTTATCTTATTCTTTTCTATTGACTGTACTGTGTTGTTAATATTGTTGCTTCAGTTCTGGGTGCGCCTGCACAAAGACCTTTTGGTTGTTTCTGGGCAGGTCAAATGAAGTATAGATTTATTATTATTATTATTAATATTATTATTATTATTATTATTATTATTATTATTATTATTATTATTATTATAATTATTATTATTATTATTATTATTATTATTATTATTATTATTATTATTATTATTATTATTATTATTATTATTATTATTATTATTATTATTATTGGAATAGAGAGATACGCAAGTAAAGAAAAGAAAGAGGGAGAAAGTAAGCTGGAAACTGCCATCTGGAGGGGCTGAACGCGGCCTACACTTCCGGGGGAGGGAAGGGATAAGATAAAGAAAAGGAAGATTGTAGAAGAGGACGAGGAAAGAAGGGGAAAAAGTAAAGAAAAATTGATGATGAGTTAACGCAAGCATAAGGACAGCAAAAGAACATGCACTGGAAATATATGCATTCTGTGTGTTTGTAAACAAATATGGCTCATATATGACGTCACGACGACGTCTCATGGTGGCGTCATCACGGGATGACAATTTTTCGCATCACTCGTGTTGTTCCCGCTGATGTGGCACGCCAGTCAATTTTCGCATTAGAGAAGCCATCTAAGTCATTCATCTTTAAAAAAATTGCGCTTTAAAGCATAGGTCGGCCACCTGCGTACCCCGACACACCATCGGCACTACCCCTACTCCCGTGGTTACTTTCCACTTCTACTGCAAGGTTTCTATGTCGACTTACGATCTTACCTCAACTGCATAATCTTATCTCAACTGCATAATCTTATCTCAACTGCATAATCTTATCTCAACTGCATAAAAGCTCTTATGGGGTGAAACAAACAACAATTCTATTTGAAATTTCAATCTAAATTAAAATGTTTTCTATTTCATACTTGTACCATATCGTCGATTAAAGGAGGTTTTTTTTGTTTTGTTTTATCGGCAGATCCACTCTCCTGATATTCCGTTATACACCTGCCATGCCCGCTTCGTGGAATTTGATCCTTAACCTGAGAACATACCACCCCTGTTTTAAAGGAATACTATCGAACAGTTATTTCTGTTTTCTTCAGTGGTCTGCCCACCGTGGTGGTCTAGCGGCTCAGGTACTCGGCTGCTCACCCACAGGTCGTGGGATCGAATCCCGGCTACGGTGGCTGCATTTTCAATGGAGGCGAAAATGCTGTAGGCCCGTGTGCTCAGATTTGGGTGCACGTTAAAAAAACCCAGGTGGACAAAATTTCCGGAGCCCTCCATTTCGGCGTCCTTCATAATAATATGATGGTTTTGGGTCGTTATACCCCACATATCTTCAGTGGTCTTTCGCTAAAATTTCATTGATTTCCGTCGTTATTTTTACATGGCTGTCACAGCTCCTGTGGAGGCCCGCATAGTACCAGAAGTGCTGACCACTCATGTTGGCCAGCCGGCATCCCTGCGTTGCGTGTCGACAGGCCGACCTCCACCCCAGGTCAGATGGTTCAAGGACGCCCAGGAGCTGCTGGACGACGACGTGCGCATTCGCCTGCTCGATGACCGACACCTCATGCAGCTGGCCACTGTGGCCACCCAGGACGACGGCATATATCAGTGTCTTGCCTACAATGCTCTCACCCAGGCGCAGGCATCGGCGCAGCTCATCCTTGGAGGTGAGACCATAGTTTCACCCCTCTGGACCAGAAATCGAGTCCTTAATACCAGATGTGACAAGAAGGTTGTCAGATTAAACAGCCTTATTATAAGATGGCGTAGATGTAGTGGAGCCTCCAACCGAACGTTTATTTTTTTAATGTGAGCGCAAGTGCCTATAAATGTTCGCAAACATAACCAGTGTTCAAAACTTCAACAAAAAAAGTCCCATCTTCGCCGCAAACGAGGTGCAAATAATGCGACAGCAACAAACCAACAAATTGAAATGTTATATAAGTAAGGGTGACACCAAACTCATTCATGATCGGGTTTCAAGGTAAAAAAAAAAGGGGGGGGGGGGCATGAGGCAATACGGCTGCTCCAGTGAGCGAAACTGCTCTAATCCTGCCGTTCGCTTCGACACAATGCAAATGGTGAGAGCAGAGCACGTGCATACATGGATAGGAGCCAAGCGCAGTCTCAATACACGGCCGCGCACAGTTAAACGAGCATATGGTGGATGTATATATATTTTCCAACGTTCAACTTTTGTTCACTTTTCATTTTACTAATCCAAGCACCCATTCCGCGCAGACACGGCTCCGGTTTTACTAGAGTCACCAAAGGACTTCAAAGTGAAACCAGGCGACTCCTTGCTCCTCAAGTGCGAAGCCACTGGTTCACCCGCGCCAAAGATAACGTGGAGCGTCGATGGAATTCCTGCTCGCCACATGAAATCAAGCAGGGTGAACATCAGCGAGGTGTGTAAACTTCATCGATGTGCCTACTGTAGCAGGTGACAGCCTCAGAATAAATATAGGCTTGGCTCACGAGGCCGCATTACCTCTTTTTTCTTGGTTCTGCTGTGTTGCTACTGCACGCTCTGTAAACGACGGAACGCGATAAATCCTCGCAAAGCCCTCCAAGCTGCTGCCGCTTCGGTGCAGGTCTAGCGCAGAAATATCACAAACTTCAACTGCATCGAATGAATACCGGCTGGGATGATGCGTTGTACGTGGGGTTAAGAGCCGAGTTTTTTATTGGTTCATACTAAAATTTACGTCGTAGCAAAGGACAGCTTTATTTGCACGCACAGAACACAAATGGATAGTGGTAAATTTTACTTTTTATCACTAGCTTGTCACCGAATATAGATTTAATTTCGAGAAAGCAAATTATCCGTGATCTCGTCGCTAAACAGCCTTCCGGTATACATGTCATCCCACTTCATCCACCAACAGTTTCAGTCTCAATACGTGAAGCTTTTTCAGTAAGATAATCGTGGCACTACAAGCACGCAGAGGATGAATGGATAATTGCAAAAAGTTCAATAATTGTCCGGCAGTAGAACCTGGGCTCAGGTCTCCCATGTCGGAACGTCAAAGCCTTGCCTTTTCACCGCTTCACGGGCCTGCTGGACTGCCCAAAGTTGGTCAGAGAGCTTGCAGCTCCGAAAAGTGGATTCGCAGAAGCGTTTTGCGATTTCTACTAAAATTAGATCGTGATACTTACATAGCGGTAACCGGCGATGGGTGTTGATTAGAGCGGGTGACTTCTAGAGCTAATTTAGCAACAAAATACTTTGCAAAATTTATTATTCATATAGGCAAAATGGACCCTCTACTTCTATATTTAGCTGAAAACCGTGATTTGCTGGGTGATTGTGCGAGGACCACTTTAATGTACACTTCAATTCAAGTACGCACGTCTCCAGCACATTCGCCTACATCGAAAATGTGATGGCCAGGGCAGGGATCAAACCCGCAACTTGCAGGTCAGCAGCTGAGCCCCATTGCAAACATGCCACCAAGGAGGCACAATCAAAATGGGTGAAATTAAATTCTGCATATCTATCTATCTATCTATCTATCTATCTATCTATCTATCTATCTATCTATCTATCTATCTATCTATCTATCTATCTGTCTGTCTGTCTGTCTGTCTGTCTGTCTGTCTGTCTGTCTGTCTGTCTGTCTGTCTGTCTATCTATCTATCTATCTATCTATGTATCTATCTATCTATCTATCTATCTATCTATCTATCTATCTATCTATCTATCTATCTATCTATCTATCTATCTATCTATCTATCTATCTATCTATCTATCTGACGCAGGCTTCTCGCGCGGACAACCACCTGGCCAGTTACGTGAATATTTCTCGCATCCGCAAAGACGAGGCTGGTGTATGGCGATGCGTAGCCGTCAACTCGGCCGGCGTGGCAGAGGCCACTGCGCGCGTGGCCTTGAGGGGTCCGCCGACAGTGCGTCCCTTCGTCTCCAACCGCACCGCAGTGGCCACCGAAACGCTGGAGATGCACTGCGCGCTGCTCACCTACCCAATCAAATCTGTTCACTGGGAAAAGGGTAAGCGAGCTTAGCAGGATGTCACTTATATTTGACGCTGACGTGCGTGCGTGGCTCTACGCAGCTTTGTGTGAATGCCTTCCTTGTGTTCATTGTTCTCGCGACAAATGTTTTGTTCGGGGTTCGGAAGCAGTCACAATAGTGACGAAAACTAGCAACCACATACGTTTCACTATGTTTTACTTTGCTGTTCAATGCATCTTCTTTCGCAAAGTGACTTTGTACTCCCCCCTAGCCCCCGATTTCCTGAGCCCTGTGCAAAGCAGCCAACCCCCGTTTGTGTGTGAGAACTCGTGTCCCCGAATTTTTTTAAACTTCAGGCTCCCAATTTCCCCAGAATCCCCCAAATTTCTGCCTTTTTTTAAACAACATTTTTGCACGCCAAGTGGAAGCTGAGTGCCGAGTATGTTTGTCGTCTCGCTGGAAAACTGTTTATTATTATTTTTTCAATTCTACTTCGGAGACTGAAAGGAATAATAAAAGAAATAAACAGACAAACAAGTAAAGAAGGAAAAAATGAAAGAAAAAGGAAAAAAATAAATGTGAAAGGCGACACTATATTCCATTATTACTATGACTACTTGAACACGTCTTCTCAGCTATGCCGATTAAATTTTTCTAGTTTAAATATGGATTTCTCAAAGCACACAGCAGGAGAGCGCACATGCTTTCACGCGTAATGTTCGTCTCTTTCATCTTCCCCTTCGCACTTGTGAAGGAAGCATATGTCTTCTACTGCACGGGTACATGAAACAAGCATCTTTTCTTAAAGTTTATTATCTTTTGTAGAAGGTGAGTATGAAAATCTTATTACGGTGACACATTAAAATTACGGCCACCACTCAGAGCTAATGGGAAGCAACGAGGGGGAACAGACAACTGAATTTAATCCAGAGGTTGCTTCAAAGTTAAACCTCTCTCAAGAAAGTTGCAGCCAGCCCATCTCTCCTCTCAACGAAAGAAGGAATGGCCAAGTAAAGAAGGTGTGAAGGAAGAAAATTGAAACAATCCAATGCGACGAGAATCGTTGCGTTTTACATTGCTCTCTCTTTCTTTTCATCTTTGCGTGTCGGGCGATGCACCAACATCGGAAGCTTAAGAGCAGCACGCAAGCTGGCAGGGTGTGTGTGTCGCAGTAGTTGCCACGCTGCCGCTCGAATAAAATTGATTTCGGGCACTCGGCTCTTCTTAACGGATAAAAAAATGAAATCAAAAGGAGAAATGACGCCGGTGGCTAACAAGCCTCGCTCAATATGCCAAACTGAAACACAAGAAGAACAGCGAGGTCTTCGAGAGAATTGTCGGAAAGACATGTTACTTGCGTTTACATATTCATTCGACGTTCAGCATAGTGGCAATGTAACACGCAGAGGAGAAACTACGGAAAAAATTTGGGAGAGTACGTGACTGGAGAGAAGCTTAACGAAGTAACGGTGCTGCCAAATGAAGTAGCCTCCTGTTTCTGCCACTCACCTGTTTCTCGCCCTCCCACCTCGTTTGCATCGCGACAGTTCATTAGTTTATCCACTTTTATCTTCTCGACGATATGGCATTGTTTTTGAGAGAAAATAAAAATAAGAGGTGGGCTATAAGCCCTCGCACATTACGGGTCTCCGGGGAGTTACCAGCGCCAAATTCGGGTATGGTTCCCCCCCCCTCCCCCTAAAAGTTTTCTCTCATTACGTTTCCATAGCAACTGCTGAAGAAGAGAGAAACACCCATTGCTTCCTGCAGGAACTGCGAGAGAAAAGATGTGCTTCTTTCACAGAAACTAACAATTGTGACCTTCTTTAATTGGTAGCTCCCTTTGGAAGTCAATGCTGAAGCGAAAACGAGACCCCGTGACATCGGAATAAGTTGAGGGGCGCACGGCAGAGGGCAGTAGGAAAAAGGACGCCACCCCATTCCCCTTTCCCATGCTGAGACAAAACAAGACGAAAAGATCAACAAAGACAGTCAAACAACGGAGTGAAATAAACCTGGGTGGGCTGTTCCGCCGTCTGGTATCGGAAGCACCTCTACGTGACCCGCATGCGACGAGAGAAAAGTGCGAGGCTAATCCAAGCACGGAAGACTTTCTCTCGCATCGGGAAGCAGGATCAGTCGTGTAAGCGAGTAGGAGCTGGGGAGAATCTTATCGGGGGAAAGGAGAAACGAAGACGTACAAAGATTTGGAAGGAGCAGAAGGAGGGGAATATCTAAGTGTCTGGGATCATCTTAGTTAAAGATCGGTACTGCTCGTGGTGGAGCGTCTCCTTCTTGTGTAAACTGCCGTACATTCGCTCGCTGCTCCCAACTTTTCTACTACATTCTGATTCCGTTGCCGTGAAAGAGGCGCACTTGGAGCAAAGCTCCGGACTTCACTCCAATGTGAGCATGGCACGTGCTGAATAAAAGGATAAATTACATTTTTTTTTTTTGCGGTGACTAGACGAACACTTTGCGTTATCATGCAATACTGCAGGCGTAGAAGTGTTTCTATAATTTTGGAAACAGTTTAGACACGCGTTACTGACAAGTACTCTGCTCGGCACTTGTGTGAGAAGGAGAAAAATATCTTGGTGTGTTGTTTTTTGTGGGTACGTGCATAAGAAACATGCCCAAAGTTTTTATCAAGAAATATTTAAGATTTTAACTCTTAGTCTGGCATGTCTCCTTCATGTAGAAGTCTAAATCAAAAAGGTAATGTTTTTTGTTGAAAACATAATTTGACAGAGGTAAACGCATTACAACTAACAATTTTGCACGTTTTGGTGGTTGTTGCTGTATACGCACACTATACTGTTTTTCTTCTTTTTTTTGGTCGTTACTGCGATTGCTTTTCTTACCCTGCCCCTTCTTTCTGTTCTATCTCTGTTGAACATGCATTATTTGTGATTCATCATGGTTATCCAGTTAATCGTACTATATATCGCCGTGGCTATAGCGTTCACACTATGTTGCTTGCTTTGAGGTTTAAGACGTGTCGCTCTAAAGAAAGCACCCGTCTGTGCTTATTTCAGACGGGCGTAAGCTGCCCTTCCACCACCGTCAGAAGGTGTTTTGCCAATGGCACTCTGCTGCTTCTGGCCACCACTGTCCATGACGCAGGAAAGTACACCTGCGTGGCATCAAACGAGGAAGGACAGAAAGCCAGCGCAAGCCTTCACGTCACCGTTAAAGGTAGGCATGAGTCAACAACGCCTAAGTGGACTGGGAAGTGTACAGTCGTCGTTGAACATCGTGCAGTGTTTCCGCGAATTAATTTCAATTTCCGAATTGGATGTTTACAAAAAACATTGCGACGGCATTTTTCTAAAAGTCCTTACATTGCGGTACTATGCATTTTGGTTCAGTAGGTCTAGTGTAACAGTCTAGTATCAGAAAAAAAATATAAATTTAAGAGCTCTGTTTTAACTGTTTTGCTGTGGAGAGGTTGAGCAGCCTATTGCCTCGGCTACTCCATATCACAAAGTTCTGCAGCGAAAAATGAAATAATACTACAGAACGGTACCCAAAAATTAACAATACGGAAAAGGAAAAAGAAAACACATAATAGCACACTGAAACCAGTTCAAATAACATGCCAATACACAGTTTTCTTCACGCAGTTCACGCAGTCATAAACTATTTACACGCACACCTTACTACTCTAATGCCAGTATATACATGACCGCATTTTACATAATACCCATCTCTGGCTGTCAGTCATAGGCGCTTGTCCAGTCCGGTCTCCACTAAAAAGTCTGTCAGGAATATTATTGCCTTTTTCTGAAGATGCATCTCAGGCCGTGGTCCAAGTAGTTTCTTTATTTTGAGGGGCCGTCTGTCCAAACTTGCTAATTTGTTCTTTAATTTTTCTCTTTCCTTCGCGTATTTAACGCACTCCAAAAGAATATGGCGAACATTTTTTTCTGCATGACCACAATGGCATTCCGGTGAGTTGGATCGATGTATCTTGTGCAGGAAGCTGTTTGTGTATGCTACTTCCAATCTAAGTCGTTGGATCAATGTCTCTAGGTGTCGTGGGAGGTCTGTCGCTATGGAAAATTTTCTGTGTGGATCAAATTCATAAAGTACCGTTTCCTTTGATTTAGGGCTCTCAAACCACTTCTCCATCGAACAATGGTTACCTCCTTGCGATGGAAAATTTCGAATATCCATCCCAGATATAGGGATTGTGCAATCATGTCCTTCCTTCAATGCTTTCTTCGCGAGACTATCAGCATCTTCATTTCCCTTTATTCCAATGTGGATGGGTATCCATTGGTATACGATGTTGTGACCCTGCGATGAGGCATTCCACAGTTTCTGCGATACATTGTGCTATTTCACCATTTCTGTAAGGTGATCTCACATTTCTGATTAGCTGAAGAGCAGGTTTGCTATCCGTGCATATCACCCATCTTCGTGGCTCGGGATTCTCGCAGATAAGCTTAACTGCTTCAAAGATAGCCACCAATTCTGCTGTCGTCGATGAAGATTTGTGCGATAATTTGTACATCTTCTTTTTCTGAATTTCGGGTATAAAGACCGCACAGGCTGACGCTTCTTCTGTGCATGATCCATCTGTATATATCTTCGTTTTTTTATTATGCATTACATGAAGCTGATGAAGTACCAACTGTGCCGCTACTAGAGGTGCCATGTCTGCTTTTTTCTCTATGCCGTCTATTTCACGGATAACGTTGAGAAGTGGCAGCGTCCAAGGTGGTTTTGAAGGTTTCCATGTTTAAATTCTGGTACTACTGCTTGAAATGATGATATAGTATCCTGTAGTCTCGTTGCCGTTCTTTGTGTTAGTGCACCAGATAAAAAATGACTTTCATGTTGCGTGAAAATTCTAAATAAATTTCGAGATGTTTCTTTAGTTCGGAGTACTGCCAAAGGTGACTCTCGAGCCTCCACATACACTAAAGCACTGGAAGTTGACCGTGGTAAACCCAGACATACCCTCAAGCTCCTTGCCAATAACAAGTGAAGTCACCTTTCGGTGGAGGCTGGGAGTCCGTGCAGCAGGGGCAGTAAGTTACGATGGGGCGTATCCAGGCAACATGTAGGGCTAATAAGGACTCTGTAGTACCACCCCATTTGGCCCCGCAGAGATGCCGGAGGATTCGAATGGCCTGATTCACTTTTTGTTCCAGCTCGTTTTTCTTGTTATATGCATCATTAGGGAGAACTAACAGACAATCATGCCAAATGAACTATAGGAGATGTCATTACGACTTTTATATAACTGTGAAAAAACAAGAGTGAACGAAAGGATAATTTGTCAGTGGCAGCATCCGAATCTGCAAGTGACCTTCTAGTAACTCGTTCTAGTTACACGCAACTAAACTTAGTGATCTCCCAGAGGTCACCCCACTTCATTACCCCAAAACTATCCGACGCTGTTCATTGATTGATATTGGGGTTTAACGTCCGAAAACCACCATATGGTTATGAGAGACGCCTGGTGAAGGGCTCTATAAATTTCCACCACCTGGAAAATACCTTGGAATTAACTTTTTTTCGGATCCTCTGACCTGTTTTATGTGTCAATCGGTGTTGGCCAGAAAGAATTGAAATGTGTACGAAGACATATTTTCGTGTCACAACTCAAGTTATAAATGCGAGGTACTTGTACGTTGGATACTGTATGGCTTGCTAGCCATGGTCAGCGATATCAATGTTTTTTTCGTGTGTTCTTTATAAACTGTATTGTGCTCTTGTATATTATTAAACTAACGTCAATTAGGCATAATTTACCGGTTAAGTGAGTTGCTTGACGCTGTTTTAACGTATTGGGATATCCAAGACTTCTCGTCGTTTAAAAAAGCTCGCACGTTATCGTTGAGCTGTTCACAACGGATGAACGTAACTCAGTACTCATATATTTGTATTCATAGGCAGCTATTCTTTCTAATGAGTGATCCACATTATTGTATCTCGTACTGAACTTTCACCAACACCTTTTGTCATTTTTCTTTACGAGGAGGCACTTACCTTTAAAAAGACGCACTAAATTGAAAGCGCGAAGCATACCTCAGTCATTGTGTTAGTTCTGAACAGTTTTTGGATATTTGTGTGCCTTGCCACTTCATCAACATGTCTCCACCAGAAAGCTTACAGGCATTCTCATACTAAGTGGTCGAAGAGCATCTGAATCACGTGATAAGCGTTTTTTTAATATTTACATTAATTCCGTATCCTAATAGAAAATTATCTGCTCTTCATAAAGCGGGTGAACAGGAACTGTCATTGTCGAGGCTCCAAACGCTAATAACTTACTTCACAAAATACTTCAACATTTTGCAACAATAGACATCACTGCGAACAGCTGCATTGTGCTTTTATGGACGGCGAGATCAACTGGCAGCGAAATCAATTGGCACGCCGTTTCCACTGGGCCTACGCTCAAGTGCATGAGCGGAAATTGGATTCAAAAGATCAGACAGTTATTGTGTGGAGTCGCAGCGATGCGAGCTTTTTCTAATTTCTCGGCGCTGCACAGAGTGATCTGACGAAATGAGATCCCGACTCTCGGGTGAGAGACTATTTTCCCAGTGATTGCGTTTACGCTGTGCAGCAGTGGCGCTAATTTAGCGCGGAGCAGCGTCGATTTCGTAAAGCCGAGAAGAGAGGGCCAACTAAGCTTCTAAATACAGCCTCGTTCAATGAGAGTATGCGAGCAGCGCGCATGCAAAGAATCAATTTACCGAGCACACTTCGCTTTGTAAGTCGTGCTCTCTGCATTGTCAAGAGTCGATTTTTTTCTTCATTAATTCTGATTGTAAGGTTACGGTCCAGTTGTGCTAATCGAGAAAAAAGTATTTTATCAACACGAAATAACACGAGTGCATATTTACCTACACATATACGCTCATGATAAAGGCGAGAAACGAGCGCCTTTGTGTGTGTGATGCCCCCTTGTCGAAAAACACGGCTTCTACGTAACTGTGAGAAAAAGGGTAGCGTATGATTACCTGCAGGCATGCACAAATGTCTCCCTATTTGCTTCCAGAGTCCACGGTTACTTAAACTTTAAAAAGTACATTTATTCTAATGAGCAATAAAGAAGGCTGTAAGGTAGTGAGACACAATTTATCCAATGTGTGTTTACAGGATGTTTTCAAGGCCCTGTATTGGCGAGAGTTAGAAATAAGAGTTAATGGAGAGTATCTTGGTAACCTGTGATTCATTGATGACATTGCATTGATGAATAATTCAAAAGACAAATTACAGCTCATAATTACTGAACTGGACATGGAAAGCAGAAAAGTAGATCTCACAATTATTGTGCATAAAACAAAAGTAATTTGCATTAGTCTCGAAAGAGAACATTGCTTTGAAATAAGTGGCGAGGCAGTAGAAACTGTAGAAGAATATGCCTACTTAGGACAGGTAGTAACCACGCAGCCAAACCACCAGAGTGAACTAACTACGAAAATAAGGATTGGGTGGAGCACATTCGCCAAAAACTCTCAAAACTGAATGTTAGATTGCCAGTATAATTCGAGAGGACGGTACATAACAGCTGCATCTTCCTGGTACACACCTCCGGAGCGGAAACATGGAGGCTTACAAAACGAGTTCAGAAGACGACACAGCAAAATTATAGGCTTAACCTTAAAAGTGGGTCAGAGAACAAACAGGGGCTAGGAATATCATATTTAAAATTAAGAAGAATAAATGTTCATTGTCCGGGCACGTATTAAATCAGCACGATAATTGCTGGTTATTGAGGGTACTCTAAAAGCAACTAGTAAGTCGACGTTGATCACTCAAATAGCAGTCCAGAAACCTCATAGTGTTACTTTCGTTCCAAGGAAGGGTCTATTTTGAAATAAAATCACGTTCTAGTAGTCCACATCACGTTAGCGCACTTGAAATCACCCGCCTCAAGAAGTGAACCGGTCGGACCGACTCACGTGCCGTGTACAATGTTCCCCGGCTTTACTGCACCAATAGCAGCAGACCGAAAGCATCAGGAGCCACAGCAGCAACAGCGGTCATTGATTCATTTCCCGCCATCGGCTCCGAGATTGCAGACGTTTTTTTGTTCAACTGCGCCCCGCTAGATGGCACCACCTGTCCAATCTAACTACGCGAAAATTTATTTTTTGAATCACTCGCGCCATTCCCCATAGTAAGGTCCTGCGGTTCTTTCTTCTATGAATGAAACAGAAACTACTGATTGA